CCCGATGTCGGGCCCGGCGCAGGAAGCGTCCCAATCCCAGCGATTGGAACAGCAGCTTAGGGAAGCTGCTGGAGCCATCCAGGCGTTGCAAGGAAGGATGGCGGCTCAGGAGGCTGAGCTAGTGGCCTTAAGGGCTTCGAGAGCCAGGGTGGACACCCTGGATACCGAACTGGGACTTGTTGAGCCCAGAGGGCATGAGCCAAGCAGCTCATCCAGAGGCCTTGTGGACACAAGGCAGCTCGGAAAGCCGGAAAAGTTTAATGGCGAGCCAGCGACCTTCGAAGACTGGAGCTTCGTGTTTGAAGCATACATGTCCTGTGTGGACAGAAAGTATGTGGAGCTCTTCGAAAAGGTCCGCTTCAGCGACGTGCCATGGTTCAACAGGACCATGAGCAGTACAGAGCACGAACTGAGCGTGCAACTGTACTACACGCTGGCCATGCTCCTCCAAGGGAGGGCGCTGGATATATGCCAGACTTCTGGCTTGGGAGAAGGGTTTGAGACCTACAGGAAATTGGTGGCAGAATATAAGCCACGAATGGCGTCGCGCTTTGTGGGTACCTTGACCCACCTGCTCTCCACAAAGTTTACCACGGACGTGGAAGCTGACATCCCTGCATTCGAAAAGATGACCAGGAGGTATGAGCAGGAGACCGGCGCGCCATTGGATGACCAAATCAAAGTTGGCATCGTCATGAATGCGGTAACGGACCCAGGGCTGAGGGACCACCTGATCCGCAACTCGGTCCGCCTTAAGACCTACTCCGCCCTCAAAGAAGAGCTGCTGGAGGTAGCTCGCACCAGTAGGGTGCTGAACAGTTCCCCGACACCGATGGACATCGGCGCTGTGCCTGGAAAAGGTAGGGGGAAGACCAAGGGTAAGGAAAAGGGCAAGGGCAAGGGTCAAAAGGGGGCCAGTAAGGGTAACACTCAGAACCCCAACAAAGATAAAGAATGTCATTATTGCCATAAAATGGGGCACATCAGTTCTGAGTGTAGGAAGAAAGCTAAGGACGAAGCAGAAAAGAAGAAGAATAACAACAAAGGTAAGGATAAGGGTAAAGGCAGTGGCGGGAAGAACCGCCCTCATGCGGCAAGCCCCGCTGAGGAACCTGAACCCTTATCCGCAACCCCCGCTGAGGACCCCGACTACGTGGCAGCGCTGACGCTGGAGGCCAGCCAAGGGTCTGAGGTTTTGGTGGACACTGGGGCTGGGTCTCACCTTTTCGTAAAGGGTTTTGATCCTAACTCTCAGGTTGTTGGTAGCGGGGTCGGAAAAGGGTTGGTTACGGTTACTGGAGAGCCGTTAAGCATAGGCCCTAAGAGGAAGAGTGTGGTTCAAGCTCGCAATGGGCAGAGCTTCTCAATTGAATACAATGAATCTGAGAAAATCAATTTCTCAGTGCTCTCCTC